ATAAATGTCTTGAGTACCTTTCATAACTTACCATAACATGTTTTACTGATGCTTGATTCTGCCTGTAATACCTAGAATAAATGTCTGGTACATGCATACAAGATTATTTTGTTACAAGTTGTGGTAGTTTATATAATTTTGGTTTAATTCTATAAGTAGAAGTTTAATTTTATAATTTAAACAAATGAAACTGCCACAGTTACTGAAATAGGAAAGAATATGATGTTTTCCCTGTTAACCCACTTCCAGGAAAATTAAAACCTGAATGCAGCAGCCTAGAAAACTAATATGTGGCCACTGGTTCCAACACACCTGTCCTTTTGATTTGCAGTAACTTTCCTCCCATGCTCTTACAGCAATATTAGGATTTGTTTGTGTTTGATTATGTAGGTTGCCTATCCTGACTGCAGCCCAGTCCTGATCCTCTCGGAAGCTTCAATGGACGATTTAAATAGCAGGCTGGAAAAGAAAGCTAAGATACAGAACTTCAGGCCAAATATTCTTGTGACAGATTGCAGTGCTTTTGAGGAGGTAAAATAACTGTCTAAAAGGTCTTTTTAAAGGTTTGGTTATGTTTCTTTGTAACTCAGTTTCCCTTTGCGATGGTACCTACAAGAGTGAGGAAAGCTGCTGCTCCATGATTTTTACAACTGTATTCCAGTGAGATACTGTTTCTGCTTAAATCAGTGCACGTGAAACATTGTGGGAAGAGACAGGTCTGTAAATTATTATTTAGCTTAGCAAAGTGTGTTTAAATTACAGACTTGCCACTGAAAGCTCATCTGTAAGTTTAAAGTAGAGAAAGCTGTGCAAGCTGTAATCGATCATTTAATGATACAAATATGTGACTTGTAAATCGCCAGTGTCATGTTTTATAGCCTTTGGCATAAAAGTAAAACTGACCCTTGCAGTACTGCAGTCTATCACTGCATCTCTGACAGTGTTCTGGTAGTTCAAAAAATACTGTCTAGGAAGGTGTCTGGTGATGAAATGAACTGGTAATAGTGGTGTTTACATGTTTTTGTGTCATGTTGCTGTTTGTCCAAAGAATTTCCTCTGGATAGATCTGATAATTTCCAGAATCTTAGAAGTTCCTCAAGTGAGAATGGATTTTTGTCTCCTAAGAGGGATTGCAGTAGGAAGTTTGCAAAGACTTACTTTCACTAAAACTTCCCATTCTGCAAAAATGATGACTTACCAGAGATGAGAGATCAGATTATCATCCATACAGTAAGAATAAACTTGATTTAGGATCAGTGCTTCAGAGAAGTGCACATTGCAGAACGGGATTCATTACTTGAGTATCTTTCTTTTCAGATGTAATTATTAGTGGATCCTGAATTGGATGAATACAGTGACCATAGGTCACTATGGTCACTATGCAGTGACTATTTCTACTCACAGAAATAGCACCGTAACGTAACTGTGCGCATTTTGAAAGTACAAGTAAAGATGATCCTCTGGAATGGATGACTGTGCCACTCCTGGAAAAGTGATTGCATGTGGGTGTGTCTCATTGTGCATAATGTTTGCCTTCCCTCAGGACACCTGGGAGAATATTCTTATTGGCGATGCAGAGATGAAGGGGACCGTGTGTTGTGGCAGGTAAACATCTGAGACCTGTATTTTATATAGGTGTAAAGAGGTTCATGATAAGAAGCTGTTACTGATTTGGCATTATCTGTCTTTGCAGGTGCATTTTAACAACTGTTAACCCAGACACTGGGGTCATGGACAGGAAGGAGCCCTTGGAAACATTGAAAAGGTTATAAAAATACCAGTGTTTCTTAGGTTGGGGGGGAGCATTTAGGCTAGATCCCAGCAAATGTTAGACTGCTGTTTTAGAAGTGGTTTGAAGTATGCATGGGACATAATAATGCAGAGTAAAGGTCTGTGTATGTTGGCTTCCAGTCTACTTTTTGCAATTTTTTATTGTAAGAAAATTCAGGAAGTTCTTTCTTCTTTCTTGCGAACTTTATACTCCCTATTTAATCTCTGCTAGGGTGAATGCTTGGGGCAACAGGTATTGGAGGTGCTAAATGGTCTAACCTTGTAACTTTGGCATTTCTCATTATAAAGTCTTTTGTATGTGTATTATACATGCATGTGTGCATACAGTCAGGCTTTTTTTTTTCCTTCATTTGAACTGCTTTGTTCACTTAATTACAGTATTTATTTAGTTTTTATTCTAGTATGGTGACTAAAACAAAGCATCACTATTCACATGTCCTCTCTTTCAATGCTGGTATTTTGATGTTTTAATTTTGCTGCCAATGATTCTAAAGAAGGACTTTCTCTCTGCAGTTACCGCCTTTGTGATCCATCTGAGCGACACATCTATAAATCCAGCCCTCTCTTTGGGAAATACTTTGCTGTTGGCAAAACTGGAACAATTCGAGTTGGAGACCCTGTGTACAAGGTGGTCCAGGAATGAGAGAGACTTTGATCAGAAGATTCATTTTCACTTTGATACGCAAATTGTTTTCCAATGAACACAGTCACAAGCATAACTTTTTCTTATTCCTTGCAATAATTTTTGTGCTATGTTCCTTTGTAAGGTGCAGGGGGTCTTTGAGGCTATGAAGTGCCAGCCATTTCAGATCATGGAATCTACTAGCATGACTGTAGCAAACACATTTTTAGTTTTTCTGGAGGCTGTGATAGAAGAAACGTATCCAAGGCAGACTTGAAACAACTACTGTGACTATCAAACCTCCTAAAATTTTGTGTCAAGCTCAACATTGAAATCCAAAATTATGTACAAGGGTTTGCATCGTGTATTAGATGCATTTAGTGTCTATAAAGAACCACAAAAACAATCATGCCAAGTGCAAAGTAAATAGGTTGATCACCAAGCTGCCTTTACAAGTGAGTATGGAGTGCAGATGGCAGGGTTCTACCCTCCTTTGGTCCTAATCATCTTACCTGTCTATGTCTGAAGTTACTTTTTTGCCACGTTTCTTAACCTGCAGTTGTTTCCTGAAGATTCCTACTGTCTTTTGAGATTGGAGCAATATCAGAAGGAGAGGGATTGTGAGCTGATTAAGTGCTACGTTAGTCTAGAGCACTGCCTGACAATGTGTAAGGCTGTGGTTTTTTGTAGGTTATGACCTCTGCTTGATAGAGTTTGAACCATCAATTTTTACTCCTGTGAAGTATACCATAACTCTGAGGCTGTAGAGTACTGATGGATTTTAACCAATCAGTAGAACTTCCAATCTGACTAAAAGAATTGGCTGTTCACTGTATCAAAGATTTTATGCATGTTGGAGGCAAAGAAAAGTTATTGGGACTGATCTGATGCTGAGCCTGACCTGTTCAAGCTGATGTCCAAGCCAATACTGTAGGGTTGTGTGTTCATGCACAGTTCCTCTCTGGCTTAGTAAATCTTGTACCATAGAAAATTAGGCTGCTAAACAGATGTCTGGGAAGCTGCAGGTTGAGACTGAGAATATTAACATCCTTACTGGTTCTGCATTTATATCTCTGGTTTCCCCCCAGCCCTGCTCTAGTCTAACCAAAATGTCAGCCCTTTGTATGAAGCTGATAATTATATTTTCTACTGCATAAAACAGATAGGGGAGGAAATTACTTGGATTATGGCAGTAGTAAATTTTCTTTAAATGTTATATGATTATTTCTTTTAAAAAGTAAACTCCAGGACAAAGCCAGCCACCTTTCAAATGCTTGTCTGCTTGTTGCTTTGCTATGGATTACTAGGTCTAGCAAGAGAAGATAAGGAAGGAATTAAGGAGTTAAGTGTGAAGAAGGACAAATATGACCTAATTTGGTGTTTAGAGTGTTTGTTTTCAGTGGTAAGTATGAAACTGGAATTTTGCTGCATGTTCACAGCTCAGACCTGTAAATGAAAAACTGTTGGACTTCGAGCAAGTTCAGATGGATGTATGTGGCAAGCCTGAAGCATACATATGGGGAAGGTAGTTTTTTATTAATTTTGAACTCGTTGTTGCTCTGAATGTCATTTTGTTAGCAGAGTGCTCTATAAGTACTAAGTTTTCCTGCGACAGACAAGTGCCCAGTTTGGACAGCACATTGCATATTTGTGTATTGTTATAACTAAGAGAGCAAGTAATGGGAGGAAGTGAGAGAAAAAAGCATCTTCTGAAAACAAAATAATTCTGAGGTTTGGTTTTAAAAAGCGTATGTTGAATGTTCATAATTTTAGAAGCTGAAAGCTGTGGAATTCCTAATATTATTAAGCACAGGCAGCCTGCTGGCCTGCCAAAGCAATTAGTTAAGTATGTGTCTCTTCCTTTAGTCAAAGAAGCAGAAGGAAAAAGCTGGGGTTTTTTTTGGGGGGGGGTGTGTTTTTTGGCCACTAGACAAACATATTTTTTCCACTGTTGTTTTGGCACCATATTAGCACTTACTTAACACAAATTGTGTGGTTATAGATTCCAGTGCCTCTCCTTAGGCTGTCTTTATAATGAGAAACTGTCATTTGCTTTCCTGTTAAGGAGAGGCCATAGATCTAAACCCCCGATTTACTCCTGTAAAGCCTCTTAGAGGAACATGGCTAGAATCCTAAAACAGGTATGCATCTGAGGACAGCACATTTCACAAGTGGCAGTTAAATAAATTATGTGGTAAAAGAGGGCCATTTTGGGAAGTCAAGAGCATAACTTAGAGCATTACATTATAAATATCTTCATTTAACTGTTGATTTGCTGTAACTGTAGGAATTGTATTTGATTTTGTTAAAACAATTTAGGAAATTGAAAATGTGTCAATCATAAACCACTGTTTTTTAAATTGTGTAATAATATTAAATGGTTTTTTAACTCTAGAGGAAGAAAAAGTATAAACTTCTGTTGAATCAAACTCATGTAAGGTGTAAGATTTGTATTTTCTCTTTTTTCTTTTTTTTTTTCCCTCTTATTTCGGCATTTAGCTTCGAATGCTGTTTCCAGGATTATCAGTTAGCACTGATGATAATTTTTTCAGTCCTACCTCTAAGTTCAGGGATATATTCCCCCAGCTAACCAAGGGAAATATCTGTGTAAGAGAGCAGAACCATCAGATATAAGGGTTATCATGCAACTTACATGATCTAGATGATGAAAAAGGTATTTCCAGAGTAACTTCTTTTTTTCCACAGGTACATCAAAATAGGGGAAAATGGGTTTGAAAGTATGAAAGTTTAGTACCCTCAAGTCAATGCAAGGTCATGTTTCCTATTTCATGTCTTATAGTATAAAACCAAATCACTTTTTTACAGCACTGATTGCACTAATAATTCTTGCAGAAGACCGTGTAAGAGAAGGACAGTCATTGCAGGCAGAAATTTCCTTTTTAAGTATCCTCAAACCGTGCCTTGCCTGTGTGATCTCAGAGCTGCTTCTGAGGTACTGTATGAAAAAGATGCCCCCTCAACTGAGAGAGGAGTGCTGGATGCTGCTGTATGGCTGCATCATGTTCTGTGGGGGCACAGAGCACCAGTCAGTGTTGGTGAAGCGGGGATTAATATCACTTGGCTCCTCAGCTGCTAAATGCCTGTTTGGGTTTGTTAGAACCAGGATGTGGGCAGTCAAACCTAGCAATAAAGTATGGACTGAACCTGTTGTGAAGGTGTGTGTCATCTGCCACAGCAGACTGGCATTAAGCCATGAAGTAAAAATAGCTGAGAAAGTGTACATCTACAATGAAGGGAAGGATGGTGTCAGCATGGCAAGTGGCAGTTTTCTTAGGCAGGCAGACCAGGGAATAGGAATGTCTGGAAGAGGAAAGGAGATGGGCAAGGCTTAGGTGTGTAGAGGGTGTGTGTTAGGGCTGGAGCTCCAAGAGATGAGACTGTGAATCAAGGCAGGGTATTGGGTGGTTGCATGTTTTCAAGGTGTTTCTGTGCAGATGGATTGAGAATGACCCTTAATTGTGGAGTAGCCTCAACTTCCAGGATTCATCAAAACCACCTGTAGCATGGGCTGAGGAATGATTCTCTTCCCCAGTGGGCCACAGCTCATCGCATTGACTTGAGGAAATCACAGAATGGGTCAGGTTGGAAGGGACCAGAGTGGGTCCTCTGGTCCAACCGCCTTGCTCAGGCAGGACCATCCTAGAGCATGTTGCACAGGATTGCATCCAGGTGATTCTTGAATAGCTCCAGTGAGGAAGACTCAGCAGCCTTTCTGGGCGGTGTGTTCCAGTGCACAGTCTGTTGTGCAGCAAAGAAGTTCATATATTCAGGTGGAACTTCCTGTGTATCAGTTTCTGCCCATTGCCTCTTGTCCTATTGCTTGGCACCACCAAGAAGAGCCTGGCTTCATCCTCTTTGTACCCGCTTCAGATACTTACAGACATCGATAAAATCAAAACACAAGTAATTGTAGCCTGAGCTAAACAGCAGGTAGAGACTACATTCTACCTGTGTGGACCAAAGACATGAAGCAGCCTGTGGTACATCACTGAAGAGTTTGGGTGGGAGCCTTTCTCATTTTTTTGACACTATGTAAAGCTAAAACATCTCCCCTTTGCCCTTGGACCATTGTGCATGAGACACCTAGCTGGCTGAAATTTTGCTTTCCTCCAGCAGTATTGTAGAGAATTGTATCTTCTCTAGTGTACAAAATTGCTCTGACAGCTTATCACTGCTTGTTTAACAGCTGCTTGTTTTTGCTTTCTTTAGCAGCTAGATAATAAGCCCAGTGAAACAATTACCATGCTTCATTGACGCGCTAACCCTCATAGCCTGTTTACTGTTGAGTTCCAAAAACCAGCTTCATTTACTGTTAATTGAGGTTTTTCTTCCAAAAGCTATGAAGGATGATGATTCTTCAGTCATAGCAGCCACAATTATATCCAGTGAGTCATGGACAGTTATTTTTAACAGATGTACCTCTGTCATGTTGACATAAGTAAAAGATGATGGCTAAATCCCTTCGTTTTATCATGATTGCACTCATAGAAGTCTGGGACTGAAAAAAAACCAACAGCTGGGTCAGAGTGCAGTCTTCTCTAGCTTCAGAAAACAAAGCACTAGATGTTAGGACTTGTTGAACACCTGCTTCATCTCTTCTCACATACCATAGGCCACAGGGCACTTCCTGTTGTGATTCAAAAACTTAATTTTTGGTAGAAGATCAAAAGCCACAGTCATAGTTGGACTACAAGAAGATCATGGGACAGATAAAGAGTACAAGCAATGTCATAGATCCTTTCAAAGGTAAAGACTGAACTTGAAAAATAATCTCCCACTGTGTTTACAGTTGTGTAGTTTGGTGGTCCATATTAACTCTCCATTCCTTGTGTTTATTTAAGGTAGAGCAGAATGTAATCCTCTTTCCAGTTAGCTAAAAGGACAGGTAACATGAAGTTTCATTTCACTCAGTTTTCCTTTATTTCCATTTAATAGAACTAAAGCTGTCTAATAATGGTTTGCTGCCTCCCAGGGTTCTCAGCCTTTAGCCTCTCTCTTCC